AAGATGAAGGATTGCAAATGTTAGTGAAAGTGTGGAGAAACTGGAGCTCTTTCATAGTATGTGTGGAATGTAAATTAGTACAGACATTACAGTTAAAAGTATGTGTTTCCTCAGAAAGCTAAAAGCAGAACATCCATGTCATCCTGCAATCCCACTACAGGGTCTGTATCCTCGGGAAGCAAGATCTGTGTGTTGAGAGGACTCCAGCATCCCATGTCTACTGAGTGTTAGAAAAATCAAAGTACAGAATCAACAGAAGGTATGCAGCTTCCGATGAGTGGACAGAGACAATGCAGTATACATAAATACAATGGAATGTTCTTCAGCCACAAAAATGGCAAAATCCTGTTGCTTGTGACAGCACAGGTGGTACTGGGCATGGCAATGTTAAGTGAGATAAGTCAGGCATGGAAAGCCAAGCAAAGGTGGGCATAGTGGTAGACTCTTCAATCCCAGCACTCAGGAGCAGAGGCAGGTGGATCTCTGTGAGTTTGAGGCCAGCCTAGTCTACATCGTTAGTTCCAGAACAGCCAGAGCTACATAATAAGACCCTGTTTCCAAAAACAGTATTAATTAATTAATTAATTAATTAATTAATTAAAGACTTTTCATAGAAGTTGAGAGTGGAATGTTGGTTTCCAGAGGCTGGGAAAGTCGAGGTAGGGAGGGATGAAAGAGATTGATCCACAGGTGCTAGATTATAGTTAGGAGAAATAGCATCTTGTGGTCTATCTCACAGTAGGTTAAAAATAACCTTCATTGTCAACTTGACTGGATTTAGAACCACCTAGGAGATACACCTTTGGGTGAGGGTGTTTCCAGAGAAGTTTAGCTGAGAGAATACCCACTCTGAATGAAGGTGAGAACATCCCGTGAACCTGTATCTTGGACCGAATAAAGAGGAGAGAGGACCAACTAAACACCAGCATTCATCTCTCACCTTCCCTAACTCCTGACTGCAAGTGCGGAGGTTTGTTGCATGAATCCTAAATGGTCTTTTAATAAGAACCTGGAGCCAGATATTGGAGTGAATACTGAAAGATCAGAGGAAACAAACCACAGCCACTTCTTACCTTGCCAACTCCTCAGCCAAAAAGAGGAGATCCTGACTCCACGAATCCTCAGACTGAATGCCTCTGAGTCCTCAGCTGGAAAGAGCCTAATTCCTGTCTCCTCACACCTTATATTCCTTTCTCTGCCAGCCATATCACTTCCTGTCTCAACCTTCCTAGTGCTGGGATTAAAGGTGTGTGATACCAAGTGCTGGAATTAAAGGTGTGTGCCACCACTGCCCGGCTGTTTCTCTTTCAAACTGGATTAATCTCATGTAGTCCTGGGTGGCTTTGAACTCACAGATATCCAGACGGATCTCTGCCTCCAGAGTGCTAGGATTAAAGGCATGTGCTACCACTACCTGACCTCTGTGGCTAACTCTGTGGCTGGCTCTGTCCTCTGATCTTCAGGCAAGTTTTATTAGATTACAACAAAATATCACCACAGAGGTTGACCAGCTGTCTCTGTTCCTACTGCCATGCCTTCTCCACAATGATGGACTACACTGCGGTGACCCACAGAGGTTTCCTAGTGAGAACTTGGTTACCAGGTATTTGGAAGGGTCTACACTTGGCTGTGCCATGTGCTTTGGTCTAGCAAGGGGGAGGTCCTTTGCCCCACCCCTTGGCATTGTTATAAAAAGCCCTTTTGAATAAATGGAAAGGGCTGTTGGGTGGTGATCCAGGCCCTCCTGAAGCTATCCTGTGTTTCTGTCTTTCTTCTCATCAACTAGGGCTCTCTTTCTAATCTATTATTTTCTTATCTCTTTCTCATAAGAACCATTCAAAAGGTGGGAGCTGGTCTCCCACACTATACTGCTTCAAACTGTGAGTGGAAATAAACTCTTCCTTTCTTGAGTTGCCTTTGGTCTGATATTTTGTCAGAGCAACAAGCCAATTATTACCTGTAGTTTTAAAAATATATCATGTGTTTCAAAATAACCAGAAGCTAGGATCTGGAGTGTTATCACCACAAAGAAGCAATATGTATTTAAGATAATAGATATACTAATTGGCCTGATTTCATGCATAGACATATTGAAATATTGCACCCTACCTTGCAACTATTTTACAATGTGCTAATCAAAAGTCTTTCCAATGCCAGTTTACTAAAGTGATTAAATAAGAGATCTTACTTACTAATATGCTTTCTCCATTACATTCATACTAAAATATTTTAAATAGTGATCACATAAAAATGATTTTCACCATCAAGTCCTCCTAATATATACTTAATAATTAGTTTAGTTTTTTCTTTTTTTCATCTGTGCTGCATTCACACCAGTCACCCTAAAGTCCAGCTGACTTAGGTATTTTGAGGGAGATTGAGAGAAGTCTGAAATGCTCTATGAAGCCACCAATCACTGCCTTGTCCTTGCACAGCTTGGGTCCCAAAACCCTGACTCGGGCAATGAGGGAATGAAGAAATGACAGACACATGGACACAGGAAAGCTGGTGTTGGGTGGGCTAGGCTCTCTGATGGAGAAGCTCAGTGTGTTTATGATCTATAGCTGCACAGGGGTGGGGTTATTGCATACAGATAGACAGTGAGGCAGGGTTATTACACACAGATAAACAAGAAGTTGTTATACACAGCTGAAAAGGGATCCCTCTGTAGGAACAGCCGGGGCAGGCAGAGAAAGAAGTGGACGTCTTCTTCACACAGTATCAACATCCACCCAGCGACCATTAGGGCAAGGCTTTGCAATTCCTTGGAGCCTCACCCTGGAAAAGCCTTGCCATTTCCCATGGGTCTAAGGCATTAGGGTCCTTGACATGGCTGGCCCTTATCAAACAATACATATTCACTCAGGACTTTACTTACTCCTTACAAAATACAAAATACTCCTGTACAGACTTCCTTAGAAAATTCCTTACATGACAACATGACAAAATTAAAAAGTGTTTATAGGGGAAGAAATAGCAAAGGATGGGACAGGTTCTACAGTTGTCATAAGAAGGCCATAGAGCTGAAGGTAAGGCAATTTCATTAGCTTCACTTTGTCAAATAACCTGTTTCCCTGACAGCCGGCTGAGGCAAACGCAGCTTCTTTTTTCCTGTCTTAACTACTTACGATAATTCCCAGACCACACCTCATGCACACACACACACAGACACACAGACACAGACACACACACACACACACACACACACCAGAATGGCTACAAAGTTTTTAAAAGGCCACTGCAGAGTCAAGGATCTTCCAAGAGGACTGGGAGGCAGAACTGGGAGCTGATAGGGACAGGGAAGAAGGCTCCCCAGTGGTCAGGTAACCAGCTCTCCCAGAGGTCTGCTGGAGACGCTGATGTATCTGGTAAGAGTTGAACCCAGACTCAAGAGTTGAACGATAGGGCTTTGTCATGGGGCCAGACAAGGCTAGAGCTACCTAGATACTGATCTAAGAGGGGAGGTAGAAAGAAGGCGTGGCCTGAAGGAATGCGGAAGTGGCAGACTTAGTCTCAGAGCTCTGTCTGTTTTCTCTAGGAAGCCACAGGGAAGTTGGGCATGGATGGCGAGCAGCAAGGGGTCTTGGTTGGCCAGAGGGAAGGGAAGGGCTGAAACAGAACACCTACCACACAGTACTGAATGGAGTTGGCGCCACTGTAGTCTATAGTCTGTGTTAGTTTTCATATTGCATTTAATAGCAGTTAATTGCATTTAGCTTAATGACTGGAAGATCATTGTCCCATCTATCTATCTATCTATCTATCTATCTATCTATCTATCTATCTATCATCTATCTATCTATCTATCTATCTTTCATCTATCTTTCATCTATCATCTATCGATCTATCATCTATCTATCCATCATCTATCTATCTATCATCATCGTCATCATCATCATCATCTAACTACTTTGAACCCAGGACTTCACCCATGCTAGGCAAGCACTGGATCACAGAACTATACCTCGAGCCCCAGGAAGTGTATTTTTATAGGACAAGATGGAAGGGTGTTATTTTCGATATTTAACTGCCATCTTTGTCAAGGTCACTTGGGAACCTGGCAGTCTTCAGAATGGCAGACCTAACCATCTGAGACACTACTGTCTCTTTGGCTTTAAAAGAAAATCTCAAGCCATTCTAGAACTCACAAAATTAACTCCTCTTGAACCACTAGTTTTGAAACTCCCAAAGTGGACCTCCTTGTATCTAGATATTTCCAAGAACAGAGGCAAAAAGCAAACAGGGCAGGTTTTTATAGCTCCTGTGAACCCAGACTCACCCGTCCTGGGGCTAATCCTTCAACCAGCCCAGTTGTTCTCCCCTGGTTTCCTTCATTCCTTTAAAAGTAACTCACATTTTCCACTCGCCACATAGTAACTTAGTAACACAAGAAACAAGCCTAATGTGAGCAGTCAAAAGCACGTTCGTTCCTCTTTATAGTTACCGCACAGGATGGCTTTTGTTTGTGCATAACACTTTCTTTTTTTCCAAATCTAGTGAGGGAAACAGTCCAGGATCAGTTCCCGAGCGGGCTTGACAGTTCGCTCTTGTGTTATTCATTCTCAAAGCACCTTGACTTTGTCTCCATTTTCACCTATTAGTGTCTCTAAGAAAACCACCCAGAAAGTCTGGATCGCCAGACTCAGTCTACCAGAAAGGCTTGGGTGGAGTTGAAGATGATTTTAAAGAGTATAACTGCTCTGTTTAACTGTCAGAGTCCACATCCCGTGACACAGTCACATCGTTATGACAAGTGTATAATGTCAGCCACACAGCCAGGCTGACTGCATAGCACAGAAACTCCTGGGATGGCTGACTCAGGTGACGTGAGAGGGGACTGGACTGTGTTAATAATTAAAATACAATTGAGAGAATTTATTCAGCATTATTTCCGATTATTAACCATTATGCCACTGGGGGAGAAAAAAAGTAAGGAACCTTGTACCTGTTTGATTTATAAGCTACACATTAATCATATAAAATCCAAGCTGTTTGCTTACCTTAGCGACTCAGAAACCACACTGATGAACTGATTCCAGACGTGAGGCTGAGCTCTGCAGGGGTGGAAAGATTTAAACTCCCATTTGTGTAGGACGAGGCGGACACTGACTTCACTGGCTCTGCCCCAAGAAAAGGCTCCCTCAGCTCAGGTTTCTGCCCCTCCTGCAGCAACAGGCGAATCTAATTTTACCCCATGACTTCAATCGCTCAGACTCTCCTAAAACTGGGAACCAATTCCAGCCCATACCCTCGGGTGTGCCAAACCCAAGCCAGGGCCACACAGAATCCCAACCGTTTCTGCAAAGCCAGCACCCTGACATGTAAATCCTGCTCCACTTTTGGAAAAGAATCTTTCTCTTGAAGGAGAAAGAGTAAGTAGGCCTCTTTGGTGAACTCGGATGCCAAGCCTCACCACAATCACATCACAGTAGCTCACAGTCTTAGACTTTGGGCTTCCCTGCTTTAAGGGTTCGATTTCTTACCCAGAGATGAGGAAACTATCCAATAACAAACAGTCTGTCTTTGAAAAACACTTTCCTTAAGTCCAACTGTAAGTGAAAAAACTTTATTATTTGAGAAAGAAATTTACATCGTGGTTACCGTAAGAAACAGAAGGTAAGTCAACTTTACATATTAAAATGATGATAGCTATTTTCAAGGAAGGTAATATATCCATTTAACAAGTTATGTGAATGTAACCATCTGGTGCTAAATGTCTTTATTTAAAAATATTTAGATCATTTAATTTTTATCAGGCATAAATATATCAACCTTTTGAATCATCTTAATCTTATATTTTGCATTATTTGCATACTGCCTGGCAACATGAAGTAAAGCAGACTAAATGACATACTTTGAGATTTATGTCTTAGCAGCAAACCTTGCGTAGACGGAGCAGGGCCACAGGACACACAGGGTTAATCTTACTTTCCCCTTGGGAGACAGACACTCCCTCTCTCTTTATTTTCATTGTCTTTGTAACTCTGAAACTTGATGCTTCTCTACAGGAACAGCTGCAGGCCTTAAATTAAACCAGGACAGTTTCAAATCATCTTATATTTATAGGGCACTTAGAACTCTTTCATGGATCCTCTACACACAATTTTGTCTGTTGTGACAATTCAAATGAAAACCAGAGCACAACAATCAATTCTTAATAAAAATAGTTCACCTATTTGCCAAGGATGCCACCTTCACCTTTCATGCACACACTAATGGAAAAATAGAAGTTTGAAAGTCCTAACTCTGTGTTCTGATTGAAATGGGACAAGGTTGAAGGTTTCAACATTGCCCTTTTCATTGGTAGGTCAATTGGATTTGCAACCAGGCACTTGTCATTGGGGATGGTTTTTTTTTTTTTATGTCAGTCAAGCATTATGCATATTTTCCACTCACACTTAGGTAATTTCATGTTATCAATGTCTACATCCAGTACTCCAGGTGAGAAGGACTCAAGATGTGTCTGATTTTATAGGTCAGTTGAAATTATTGACTAAGATTTTTATGTTTCTAATGTAGGTCTAGCTTAAGTCTGAAACTCACACATGATATGTTTTCAATGGAATTACAGCATTTTAAAAGATATACAGAAGAGACCATAAAGTAACTCTACTCTAAGACCAAGTAATGTGTTCAAGGTTCCATGGCTAATAAGACACGAGCAGAAAGGACCAGAAAGCCGGCTCGGCTTCCATACCTGTTCAGTACACCCATGGCGTCCATGTATGGCCATACACTTCTGTGGTCTAGCCTGGTGTCATCTCATTTTCTTTTTCTAGCACTATACTACAGTGCTTAGAGGGCTACAGCCTTTGTCCTGGTCCCTGTCTTTCAAGTTTTCTCAGTGTAGATAGCCCTAGTGGTATCAGAGGTTTGGGTAGTGATGTCATAGGGTGAATTTAGATTCAAACATTCACCACATCCTAAAAGAAATCAAGGCACAAATTGATCAATGAAAATGGATCTATGTCATAAGCATGCTATGTCAAAAACAGGCAAACGTGTCTGTGTCCTTCCATAGTATCAGAATTTATTGACTAACAATAAATTAGATAAGGTAGTTTTATTGGCTTCAATTTGCCGAATAATTTCTATTTCCTTGACAGCCTGCTGAGGCAAACACAGCTTCTTTTTTTCTGTCTTAACTATTAATGTTAATTCTTGGACCACACCTTATGTACCACACAGTAAACACACACACAAACACACACACACACACACACACACACACACACACACACACACACACACACACACACACAGAGAGAGAGAGAGAGATGAGAGAGAGAGAGAGAGAGAGAGAGAGAGAGAGAGAGAGAATGAGCACAAAGTATTAAAAAGGCCACTGCAGAGTTCAATGCTCTTCCAAGAGGACTGGGAGGCAGAACTGGGAACTGATAGGGACGGGGAAGAAGGCTCCCCAGCGGTCAGCTAACTAGCTCTCCCATCTTCTGGAAATACTGAGGCAACTGGTAAGGGTTGAACCCAGACTCAAGGGTTGATCACAACAAACAGAAGTAAAATGTGTGTGTGTGTGTGTGTGTGTGTGTGTGTGCTGAAGAGGCAGTGGACAGGTCTAGATCCAGATGAACATATGGAGTGACAGATAAATGGCCAATCCAAGTAGCCTGTGTCAACAGATCAACGGCAGGCACTCAGCTGAGCTCAAGTCCCCGGGACAGTGGGAAGTTCTCTGCCTATTGGTCTTTTGATGCACACACCATGTGGTCAGATGACAGGTCATTGGGGCCATCAGCATCACAGTGTTGGAGATCCTCCTCTTGTAGGGTCCAGGGGAAAGTGTTGTACCCTTTCCTTAGTGTGCTGTGTTCAACAGGTTCTTGGACCTGGTTTCCTGATATGGTTTTAATATGTCCAAGCACACACACAGCCCCAGTTCTTCTTGCTAAGTGTACAAGGCACTACTTACACAGTCCCAATTCACATTGCTAAATATATAAGGTACTATCTTTTGACTTTTAGGAGAGTAACATTTGTCTGTCTGTCTGTCTGTCTTACAATCTGGACAAATGGAGTTGGAGGTGTATTGAGAGCAGGCTGTGCACTGCCCTAAATTAGTTCATATTGTATAAAAGGGTGGGTTTTATTTAGACTGTGATTTGTCCTGAAAGACTCTTGCCCACAAGAGAAGCATTGGGTTTGTTTTGAGGACAGAGGATGGTTCCACAACTGGATGGCACATGAAAAACACCATCTTCCTGGCAGACAGTGCAATGCAAACTGATTTCTAGAGGTGGAGAGGTTGCCACCCATCAATTTACCAGGGTGAATTGAGACTATAGGAGCACACGGCATATTAAAATCATATTAGGAAAAGTAGGTCTGAGGACTTACGAGACACACCAGGCTGAGGAAAAGGTCCAACCCTTTCGTCCTGGTTCCATCAAGAAGAAGACATCCAGCATCACCACTGTGATGGCCCTGCTGACCTGTCATTGTGCCACTAGGTGTGTGCATTGATGAGCAACACACAGAGAACTCCCAACGGTTCCGGGTCATCTTGGTTTAGTTCCCACGAATGATGTGGCCTACTGGAATTTTCCTTCTGTCCACATGTTGTTCGCCACCCACCCGTTAGTTCACCTGGACCCAGTCCCACCCTTTCTCCTCAATAGCTGAACACAAGTCTACATCTCAACTCTGACCCTGCACCCTGACTTTGCAATAGACTGAAGTGGAGATGTGATGCTACCCCATTGTGGATGGGCCACCTATCATATGTTGAAAATATCACACCCTGCAATGCATATTTGTGTGTTGCTGTGTGTGTATATGATGTACATAATCTTGTGTGTATACATGTGCCGATGGATGTACTTGCACATATATACACATGTATGTGGAAAACAGAGGTTGACTTCAGGGGTCTTTCTTAGTCACTCTCTGTGTCTCTCTGTATGTGTCTTTTTGTCTCTGTCTTTGTCTGTCTATCTCTATCTCTCTATCTCTCAAACAGGGGTTTGTCAGAACATAGTCCAGGAATGGAACCTTGTGAGGAGAATTCTGAGTGCTAGTGAGAAAACACTAAGAAAATAAGAGTCTTGTGACCTCAGTTTCTTCAAAACACGAAATTGTTCGTAAAATGTGTTTTCTTGCTCCTCCCAGATGTATTGGATAGGAGTGAGTTTACTTCAGATTACTAATTATTGCTTGCTGGTGTTATTCAATTAAATGTTTATGCCTCTATGGAAAAAGATGTTTTTGCCACGTGTGGTTTGCCCTTGTGATTGTACACTTTACTCATGTGATTCTTCTTAACCCTCAGCGTATAAGTTGATGCTCTGAAAAAATTGGCTATTGCATGAGACTGTCTGTCATTTAGTCTGTCTCATTTATCAGCCCCATTCCCCCAGGTCCCATCACCACTAGAGCGGTAATAGGGCTTCTCACCGAACCAGCAGTCCGTCCCACATCACTTATTTGTTTAAAGCTTTCAGATGGTCTTTAAGATATGGTACCATCTTTCTGAAACACATGCATTTTTCAGGGCTACCTGGATCTCACGCCAACGTCTTCCCAGTTCACTGGACCATGTGATCTCTGTTAAATGAAATTATCCAAACCATAGAGTATAGTGGGGTAGATAGTGGGGTCATAACCTTGGAAGTCTCTGGAGTGAGAATGAACAATGACATTTTGATAAGATGTCCTGACAAAAAGCAACTTAGGTGGGAGAGAGTTTGTTTTAGCTCACCGTTTCCGCTGACTGCCCATTGTTGTGGAGCAGTCAAAATAACAGGAACTTGAAGCTGCCAGTCACAGTAGAGCTACAGTCAAGGGCAGAGAGAAGTAAACACATACCTGCTCACTTGCTTGGGCTTAGCTAAATTTCTCTACTCTAATATGGTTCAGGACCTCCTGCCTAGGGAATGGTCCCACCCACAGTGGGCTGGGTCTTCCCACATCAACTAATTAAGGCAATGCTCTAGAAACGTGTTCACAGGCCAACACACTGTGGACAACTCATGGAGACTCTCTTCCCTGGAGATTCTAAATTGTGTCCGATTGACAAATGAAGCCAACCATCACAGAGACCATTGTGGAAGAAAACATTCTCAAGACAATGACCAGAGGCCATTGTGTCAGGAGGATTGCTACAAAGTTGAAGATGACCTAGATTATACAGCAA